TATATATATATATATATATATATATATATACACACACACATACACAATATGCGCGCTTTGGTAATCAGTTGGATAAGAAATTTAATTTACATGAGAACATCTTCAGGACAGTTCATCTTTATTTGGATTTTCATCACAGCAGTGCCACTATTTGCTCTACAGATTATTTATTTTTGTACTGTCTGTGATTTAAGAGAAACTTGCATTAGTGGGTGAATACTGTTATCCTAAAACTTGCTCATTTACATATAGATTAAAATGCACTGCCCCCTGGTGACTTCATTTTTTTTTACCACATCTCTTTGGATTTTTATTTTGTATTTTTTTTACCATCTCCATTGCATGTCACATTTTTGTTATGAAGTACTTCTCAACTTTACTGTAGAAAAAAAGTGCTGCATACTCTAAAAGGATTATAGTATGATGATCCTGCAGAGTAATGCTAATTATATAATACTACTGAATGGATAAAACTTTCTAAAGTTCTGATGATTGTGATTTTGTCCACATATGTTAGTCATCCATGTTTTTAAAGATAATACTTTAAAAAGTTTTATTTGAATATATAAAACTGTTTTGAATGGTTTAAAAAAAAAAGGTTGAGAGCCTTGCATCTGTTGATTGAAGTGTGTCTTAAAGTCTTAAAATGCAAGTTTTTGATATGAACTGTGCAGGATCAGTGGATCAAAATAAGGCTTTGGTTACAAAAATAAATATTAAATACATGGACAAAACCCTTCAAAATCTAACTTGAAAATCGTGTGATTTTCTAATCACATTCAGTCTAAAACAACAGAAAACTTTTTACTGTAAAGTTTTTAGACTGTTGATCAAATAACACATTTGTGGCCACTAGCTCAGGCTGTTTTATTTATGCATAAAGGTGAAACTAGAAAACCACAAACAAATTCTCAGAGCAGAAAATAGTCTGCTGCTGGCTTTATTTAAAGCTACAGTAACTCCAAAAATGATCTGAATTAAATGCTTTTTATTATGTACAAGTATGCAGTCAATGATGTAACCTAAAGTTGTTTCCTTTAACCCAGTCTTTGAATAATAATTATTATTATGAATTGAGGCCAAAAAAAAAAAGTTGTCACAGAAAGCATTTTCAGATTGATTTAATATTGCAACTTGCATTTTAAAGACACAGACAGTCTGGATAGACCACCCACAGAGGGCGAAGAGCTCAAGTTCAAACAGGCCCCCCTTCTTATTCTTTGAAGGACAACTTGGACAGAAAACGAGCCACAGGAAAATAGACTCAAATTGGTTTTGTTCAGTCTTTCATCTTGTGCTGCACCCCACATCTCCCACAGACACGTACATGTAGCACACAGTAAGACCAGTCACTTCACAGATCCTTGCTGCTGAGCGACTTTCACAATGTTAGCACTTTGTTATGTAGTATTTACATACAATGTTTAAAAGAAAAAGTACCAGATGACATTAATACCTTAAGGGAAAGGCATAAATCTGTTCCACATTCACCCTTTCTTTTTTTAATTTAAAACATTCTGCACATTTTTGTTGTGTAACTTGGGACTTGCAATTATTCATTTCCTGTGCTTTGACTGTCTCATACAACAACATTTAGCAGCCACGCTTAACATAAACTTTCCTGACTTTAAACGAACATATGGCACTTGTTTTGGTAAAATTCAGTCTACAATACAATTTGTTCCAAGTTGCGTGCTTTTTTTTTTTCTTTCTGCACAAAACGCAGACTGCATGATCAAATCCATGGCTTATCTATTTAAACCTCTGGTCTGCCTTTTCAAAAGGATAGTTGGGGGCTTTGTGGAAAGCTTATGATCAAATAAGCATTTACATTTTGTAACTAACCCTTTGAACAATCATTTTTGACAAGACTGATAAGACCAAAGTGGATTATTGCCGTTAACCCTCCTGCTGCCCTTAGGTCAAAATGACTTCAGTCTTTAAACTGAGCCTCGTGGGTCATTTTGACCTAAGGGCAGCAGGAGGGTAAAAAATAAAAACTACAGTCGTCTTAAATTTCATTGGGATTTATGCAGTTTTCTAAACCTTTACATTGTACAATGTATTCAAAAAGAAGCCCAGTTATAACAATCCACTTTGATCTTTATTGGATTAGCTTTAAATTGATTAATCTAGTCAGTTCAATTCATTTTATTTATATAGCGCCAAGTCACAACAGAAACTAAGACTTTTAAAAGAGCTATTCCAAGATGCAAGAGAAAAATGTTTCACTGACTTTTCACAAAACCCCACTTCAAAAATTTGAACCGTCCCTTTCCATGTTCTCTGCTTTATGGATAACTTTTTTTTTTAACACTTTAAACAGGCTTGTATCTTGACTAAAAAGTTTTTCTTTCTAATCTCTGAAGTCAACAAGGAAAGTAAATATTTATTACCTAAAATGAAAAATATATTATAATTAAAATATTGTCAGTACATAAATACATTTACAATAACTACAGCTTTTAAAAACGTAATGAATTCAATATAACAAATATTTAAACAATGTTATAAAACAATATACAAAACTGAAATCAGACCAGCCTTTTAGCTACACTTGATGACCAATTATCATACATGTTGTGACTTATACAATATTAACAAAGCTTTTTTTTTTTTTCCCCATCTGCTGACAAACCATATTTTACAGCAACACATGGAGCTTGAGTTAATGGTAAAGACGAGTGCATAGCAAAATAGAAGATAAAACTGACAAAGTTGCTTTAGAAAACATTACAAAACCACGTTTAAGGCAAATCTCATTTAAAATTGGCATAGTCTGAGAAAATGTCGACAAAATCTTGTACCACCCTGTAGCAGAAGTCGTACTGTTCCTGCGGTGAAATGAGACACGGGTTAGATGATTATCTAGAACATGTGTTGCTGCAAAGCTTCTTGAAAGACGTTCTTCTGCAGATACTTACAACCGTTTGGACCATATGAGGCCTCTGCATGCGTAAACTCTTCACAGTCTGGAACACGTCTAGCAGGCCTTCTGCCTTGACTCGCTCCAAGATGTTGCTCAGAGCAATGAACGTACCTGTTCGCCCTGCACCAGCACTGCAGCAGCACACAAAGACCATGAAATGAACGTTTATTCAAATGCAGAGCTGGTTTTAGGTTTTAACAGCAATCTGATGTCTACCTGCAGTGTACGACTATGGGATGGTTCCCAGACTGCTGCTGCTGTCTCTGCACTGAGGCGATGATGTCGATCATGCCTTTCCCCTCTGCCGGGATGCCGATCTCTGGCCAACCGTGGAAGTGGAAGTGCCTGATCGCCCTCGTCTGCTTCTCCTGTGAGAGGTCACAACCTTTTTGAAATGTGATTCATTAACAGTTTATGGAAGATGACAGGCGTTTGTTGTGTGCAGACAGGAACGTCCAACCAAGCCCCTGAAAAATGACGTGGGTGGAATTTTGTGAAATACGAGATGGGAAACTTGAAATTGATCATCCCGAACACGTCCTGCTCACCACATTTATCCTTACAGGCGAGAGAGATTTATGCACCGAGTCTGAGTCAATTGTTTCAGACCTTGTTATAAATTTTTGATAAGGAACCTTTGAATTTAATTACCCAAATCAGGAGGGGGGGGGGAGCTAATTTAACTCAAGTTATTGGTGATAATGTTTTGGTCTTCCCTGTGTGTGTCGGTTACTAGAATCTCATTAGATACTTGACAGATTGTAATGAAACTCTCGGAAAGTAATCAATGGATGGACATCTACAACTGATTGTTTGAATTCAAAACAAAGATGGCTGCCACAGCCAACTGAACTCAAAAGAATGGCTGTAACCCAGTTACGGTAATTTTACAGATACCGAACTAAACATTGGTGTAGTAGTAATCATTCAAAGCATGGGATTATACACGTAAAATGATCTTAGTCTAAAACTCTGACACAAAGTAATATAGAGTCATTCAGGGATTGCACTGCCTTGAATTATTTTTGTAGGAAATTGGCAATTTTATCATATTTTTTCCCATAAAATGTAACGAATAAATACACCATCCAAAGTGTCATCTTACATTTTTTTAAACAAACATAAGACCTTTTCTGTTCAATATCACTAAGATGGTACAAAAAGTTCAAAAGTAATTATACTAGAAGAGCCATTAAATGTCATTTCATCATGATAGCTGCTACTGAAGCTCAAATTAAAAACGTTTGCATGTGTGATAGTGCAAAGTTAATTTGCTTACCGGAACATAGGTGAGTACCAGGTCTCTTAGACTGAAGGTTTCACACAATACATCTCCCTTCAGCTCTACAGTGTAGTCTCCATAGGTGACTGAGTCCTCTGTGGGCCAGTACTGGTAACATTTGTCCTACAAAAACAGAAACTGTACCTTTTAATACAGATCTCCTATTCTTAAGGATGTCCTTGTGTATCATAGCCCACCTGCTCCCTCTCCTGGAGTTCAGTGAGCATTACAATAGAGTGGCATTTCCATTCCCAAACCATCCTCCAGAAATCCACCACTGTGTGAGACAGAGGACCCTGTGTGGCAATGTAGTAGTCTTTCTGTCTGTATCCCTAGGTTACACCAAAACATTTTCTTTAAATTTTAGTCACAACCAGGGGCACTACAAGAGGGGCTGTTAATAAACTCTAACAACAGGAAGCTATTCTTGTGCTTACATCTATAAATGATGCATTGATGTAATCTGTGAACTCTTGTCCTCTTCTCATGGAGAGAATTACTCTGTTGAAGTCATCTGAAAAGGAAATAGAGCATCAAAACATGTAGATTACAGCCGGAGATACACTTGTTCACAAAGTTAAAAATACAAACTGCCTCTGAGCAGTTTTTCATGATGGTAATTAAAATGCACCATTAATTTAAAAATCAAAGTATTTATTTTATTTTGTACATTTTTGGTCCCTGCTGCTTACATGGAATAATTTGTAGAACTCTGTTCTTCTTCATGTTGGCAGGGAGGTTTCCAGTCCTCATGTTCTCCTTCATTATTCGCATGTTGGTCAGTTTCTGAGCACAAATCAAACAAGCTCCAGTGTTAAAATATTGTTAATGCTCACTGTGCTTTTAGCCTGTAAATTTATATGGGAAAAAAAATACAAATGCAAGCCAATCAAAGTGATTTGGGTGTTTCGACACACTGATTATTCAGAATGTTAAAACTACATTCCTCATAGTGCAGTAGTCTGTTTTGTTAAATTCCAAAATATAATTGTAGATGTACATTTAATGGTTACTTTCTAAAAGTTCCATTAAAATGTGTCAGTCAGGTGTGGTAGCCATCTTGAAATTGGGTTTACTCCCAAAGTGAACAGTTTGCACATCTAATGATTACATTCCACAAGTTTTATTAAAATCTGTCCAGCACTTTGTGTGTTATTAAAAAAAATCTTATCACGGACAAAACCTATGTCCTATGGATCAAAGTTCTGCTCATATTTTTCTTAGATTGAAAGCTTTTCTAGCAGAACAGTGGTCAGGTCACCATAATGCCACCGCTGTCTGCATTTCTTCCCCAAGCAAGCAATGCACTCACTTTGCTGTGCACACCAGACGAGTGAATTTGACAAAGCTATTTTTCCCTACTGCTTCTTCCACCTTTGTGCCAGTAACTTTTTCATGTTCTTCCTTTAAACCTGCAGGGGTTTTTTTAGGTCTTCTTGCTCTTACAAGGTCCTTTAAATTAGCCAGTTCTTCTAGCCTCCAATGGAACTGACTGCTCTTAAAGCTCAAGTCCGATATCTTGATGTGTACCATTACAATCTGATCAATGTACACAACAAAGTGAGTGCATTTAGAGGAGGAGCTCATCGTCTATTTTTACATACTAAATAGTTGTCTGCTCTCAGTGGTATAGGAAAATATTTAGTCAAGAAACTGCACTTATTGCTATCTCAGCTGGTGTGTGTGTCAGGCTTAATGGATCTGAATGTGAAATGAGATCATTTACCTTAAACTCTTCCTCCAGGCCCACTCGATCACCATCAGCAAAGGTGTTGTGCAGTTTGTGAAGATGTCCTTCCAGAGACGACACATCCAGCTCGGTGTCTCCGTAGAGGTAGTATTCAAGTAGGGCTTGGTAGATGAATGAGTACTGCATCTGTAGGGGAGAATAATCCCAAATATTTAATATACTATGAACAGGCACATGTGCAAATTATTTCAGCAAGGAATAAATAACTCTTCTGCAAACATGCCAGATGTTTGTGTTAAATCATGTGTTGGATATAATGTGTCTCCTACTCACATCTGTTTGGATGAGCTGGGAGCGCTGCTCTCGTATTTTTGAGACAAAACCAAACACGTCAACTTTTTGTTCTTTGTGCATCATGTCGATCATGGCATCTATTACTATGAAGGTTCCTGTCCTTCCAACACCAGCACTGAAGTTACAAAATAAACCACAGTGAGTGAAGCACAACCTTTAGCTGATGTCTGAAGGTTAAGGCATGAGGGGAAACCAAAGGTTTGTAAACACAAACATTTCTACGGTTACTTTACTTTAATAGTTTGTTTTCACACAGATACATAAAGAAAGGTCTATTGCCCAAATATATTTATCTCAAAAGATGTGGGAAACCAAATGATGTGCACGGCTCGTTGGTCACTTATTTTGACATTTCTGACAGAAAACATCCAAATCTAAAAACCACACCACTGATAAAAGTGCTCCAAATCTTATCTTTATTTTTAAGCAGTCCTCCAGTAGATTAAGTCGTAACCACAGTGGCAGCTGTCAAGGTGGAAAACCAAATGATGTGCACGGCTCATTGATCACACAATTAGTTTTATTATTCAGCAAGACTACATCAGTAATTTTGTGTTTCTAATTCGTAGAGCCTGACCGATATATCAGTAGAGCTGATATTTTAGGCCGATATAGGAGTTTTGGGACTTATTGGTATCGATGATAATTGTCACATTATGAGCTGATATAAACACGGGAAACAAGACATGCAAAAGGTGTAATTGTACACTGTATCCAGCAGAGGGCCCATACTTTCAAATCATGGTCGTTCCTTTAAGTTTCACTTTCAGCACAGCGGAAGCAGGAAACAAATACTGTGTAGTGTACTTGGCTGAACAGAGCATGGTAAGTTTATTGCAACTAATCTGTAAACTAAAATAAAAAATCAACGGTAATAAATTCTCTTCAGTCCTCCAACCCACTTGTTATTAGCTACGTGCCTCTCTAGTTAGCAAGCTAACGTTTAGATAACCTAGCATAGGCGATTGCCTTGTAAAACTTTAACAATAACTCTTAACGTAGAGGTAAAATATACCAGTGTTAGTAACGTTATCTTAGTCATCCTCAATGAAATTTAGTTTGTCTGGAATCTTTACTTCACAGCAAAGAAAAACAAATGCTGCTGTTGTCAATACTAATCAGGCCTTCACCATACGTGACAGACTGTTTAAACAATGAATAGGGAAGGGAGTTTATTTGTTTATATTATTGTATCACACTTGATAACATTATGGTAAATAGTGGAGGATAGAAAATGTGATGTTTTTATGACCAGTGCACCATTTGTAAACCTCGAGTGGGACTAGGTCTAGTGTGGTGATTAGCTTAGCTTCATGGTTGCTAACAGCTGTGCTAAATAAACGAGTCCCGCTCCACTCGCTGTTTACAGAGATTCTTGTGGATGGATAAAGCTCAAGTTTTTTTCAGCCATTATATCAGTGATCAGCATTAGCGTTCACCTCCCAATATTGGTATGGGCGATAGCCAAACTTTCCATATCGTTCTGGCTCTACTAATTAGTCTCCAACAGTCTCAGCCCAGGAAATACTGCCTTTAACTCGACTCATCAGTACCTGCAGTGGACCACAATAGGTCCAGAAAAGGGTGGATTCACTGCCTTGACCTTTTTGAGGAACTTGAGCATGCCAATCGGGGAGAAGGGAACTCCAAAATCAGGCCAGCTGGTGAAGTGGAGCTGGGTGACTAGACGAGGAGTTTTGGCAGCATCACTGGCTTGCTGCATGGACAGAGAAAGAAAAACATTTAAAAACAACCAAGAACGGTCCTTTGACAGCTCCTAATAGACTGTAGCAATTCTTAGATGACAGAAAACAAGGATCCAACTATTAACTTACATATTGTACACAGAACTTGCGAATTGTGTAGTCCACCAGGACTGTGAAGTCTTCGACTGCTACCCTCACATTCCCATACGTCCAACAGCCCTGATCTGGCCAGTACTGGTGACATTTGTCCTGCAATAGGATGGCACCAGTATCCATGATTCATTAAATGACTTAAAGTTACTGCTTCTCAATTATTACATAATCATATTCTGAATTTTGTTTTTATAATACAAAGTAGCTCAGATGGATATATGTATATATGTATACACATATATGTTTCAATTTTGCAGCCAATCGGTCCAGATTAGTTTTGAAAGGAAAGGTGAAACCAGTCAACCTACTGGGCGGGGTTCTGATACTGCCTTATGTTCAGTTAAAATAATTTTAATTGATGAACCAGGTTGAAAATGACAAACCTCTTTTCTCTCTTTCAGATTTGTCAGCATGACAACAGTTGCTACTTTCTGCTCCCATATCATCCTCCAGAAATCTGCAACCGTGTCTTCTTTTGGACCTGAGATGCAAAATAAGTACCGTAAATGTAATGATTTTTGCAAGTTTTTTTTTATTTTTTTATTCTATTTATTTTTTACTTACCTTGCGCAGCTATAAATTTGTTCTTTTCAGTATATCCCTGGAAGTAAACACGACAACATACATCTCAAGGACCGCTAATAAAAAAACATTTGTGTAACTTATGCAAACTTCCTATTATAATTCTTTAAAATAGTGTGTTATAAGCTATACAGTTGATAAACAAAACGAAGAACTAAGACTCACATCAACATAAGATGCGTTCACGTAGTCCGAACACGGCTTCCCATCAAACTGGGTCAGAACCACTCTGGAATGATCATCTAAAAGTAAAAACGGACAATTTAGAGGGTTTATGCCACAACCAGCATACACAATTGATTGCTATTGTTGCACACATGAAACCAGAAAGCAATACATATTTTAAATTTTCAAGAGAACGCACTTTTCTTCACCGCAATAAGTCCAAAATACACAAAGCTGCACTCAGCTTGAATAAGTCTAAAACCTGCTAACAATGAGTTGGCACTTTGTTCTTCATTATCTGACAACTGCTTCTAGACAATAAAAAAATGAAAGCAAGCTTTAAAGGGGTACAAAGATGCCTCCAAGTTTAAAGACTTTATGCCAAATTTGCGAGTTGCAATATGTAGCTTCAAATTTTCTTTATAAACATGAGTTATAAAGCATTTTTAATAGTTTATTGGCAATTGACTGAACAGGCTTTTGCGACAAAAAGGTCTATTAAAATGCCACAGTTCTCAGAACGGTTAATTAAAAAAAAAAAAAAAAGAAACCAACTGTATACTGAAACAGGAAGCTGCATGTGTGTGTGTGTGGGGGGAAAATGGCAGTTGAGGAAACTATTAGAATATTGTTCTGTCTCCGTGAATACGTATGTGAACCTTTTATGAAGCATTTAACTGGATTTGTCAGAAAAGAAAAACATGTCAAAGACATATTGGCTTGTGCAGATAGAAACAGGAAACCATGAGGGCTGTGTTTGACCCTGAGCTCCTTCAGAACAGAAAGTACACTCACAGGGAAGGATGTTGGGGTATCTGTTCTTCTCCTTGTTCTCATCCTTGTTGGCCTCCTCGTACACTCCTTGAGGGTTGCCCCCTGGCAAAGACTGCAGAGCAAAATTAATGATTTGACATAACGTGATTAGAAATATTCTGCCATCAGCCTAAAGCCAGAGCATTGTGTTCTGCTGCATATAGGCACTTCCTCTGATACCTAAGCAGAGAAGTTCAACTTCCTGCTATTACAACCATCTAAATAAAAATGTGTTATATGATTCATTTGTCAAATACTTTATTTTGACTCGGATGCTCAATAACACAGAAATAGTCCAGCATGTATGAGTATGAAGCAGTAGATGTCACGGATCATGTGACAGGCTTGTAAATTTCCCCAAATAAAAATAATTCAAGCGGTGGCTTAGACGTTTGTTGCCCTCAATAACATTTAACAGTTTTAGACAGGAGAAAAAACAACTTTAAAACTACCTTTGAGTATTAGGTGATGCTGTTGCTACATGTGACATTTTAAGGCCTTTGGTTGTAAAACGCTGCTCAGTGACTGTTTCTCACTCTGACCTCTCTAAGGTAAAAAGAGATGGGGCGCTTACATTGTACTCCTCCCTGAAGAGCTTTCCGTCATCGGCTGAGCGAAGCCTGTATTCCTCCTCGAGGTGATCGACCGGGATGGGTAAGTAGGTCTTGGATGCTGAGGGGGATCTGGGCAGAAGGACCACCGTCTGTTGCTCTGGGGGGAGAACAGATAGTTGGTATAATGCCTCTGCAAAACTGACTTGGTGGTTTTGTTCAATCATTTCCAGGGAAAACTATTATTTGTGGTAATAATTAAATGATTAGGTCACATTTAATTCTATTCATCAAATGAACTAATGCCACAGTGATAATTTATTATGTTATGTGTTTAAAGAAATTCATTTGGAAAAAAACTAGGATTAGGTTAAATTAAAACAGTGGTTCCCAACCTTTTGGACTAAAAGCTAAATGATCTCTTACATTACTATTACGGTAGTTTTTTTTTTTTTATTCTGTTTTTCTGTGTTTTGATAAAAGGTGCCAATATAATTTATTTAAATACCATAATTTCAGTTTTTTGTGGGAACTAAAAGTTAAATTTGATTTAAAACAACCAGGTATTTTTAAAGAATATTATTTCACAAGATTTTTCTAAAGCAGTCTGAATTTCATAAACACTGAGCTACAGTTTTGTGTGTAGTAGCTGAAAGTCTCCAACATCCACTCTTGAGTGATGATAAATCGTGTGAGCGCTTTCTTTTAAACTTTGGCATTAACAGTGAGAATCAATTCTGTCTGGGTGTTAATAAAATATTGGATTTTAATGGAAGGTAGCAGGTAATAAACATTCTTTCAAGGCACGCTAGATCCTATTTTTTTACTATATTATTTAGCTTTCTTACTAAATGAACCATACATATTATTACATATCATGTATAGCTTTCCTATTTTCTTTTTATCTACCTCACCCTTTTATAGATTCAACTATTTTAGTCAGTTAATCACAATAGCAATGTTTACATGCGCAAAATTCATTGATCAGATGGAAATGTATGCAGATTAAATAATCCAAATGTATTGTTTATATGGGCACGATCCGTTCACGACGAGCGTTCACATGCAGCGGGTTTTTATTCAGAACAGAAGTACTGACATGAGCAGAGTGGTCAACTTTCCTTAAAAAAAACATAGAAGTTCTACTTCTGTTCTACATTCATGATGAACATAAACAAACCTGAGCGCCCAAAATGGACCCGCAACAGGTTTTAATAACGGTGGAGACGTTACTGCTCTCCCTGATTGAGCTACGGGTAATACAGATAATTTGAGCAAAGTATTTAGTAGAAACGTGTCGTTCACTGACCAGTTTTACTTCCCCGACATATTAACATCTAGCCATGCGGAAATACGTGAGGTTGACAGGTCGCACATGCGCAGTCAGGTTAGTTTTCCACGATCGGAATGAAATGATCAGATTAAGTGTTTACATGCACACCGATTGGATTATGAATCGGCATAAATCACGGATTGAGCCAGCTCAGAATAATCCGAATGGGGCGTTTACATGATGGCCGTTTAATCTGATTACTTATGTCCATGTAAACATAGCTAATGTCTTTCAGCTAAAAATATTATATATATATATATATACACACATTTAGTATAAAACTAACTTGAGTTGCATGTTTGCTCTCAAGAGTTTGACATGTAATCCCAGTTCGACGTCGACAGAAGCAGGTGTGGTTGGGAACCACTGAATTAGACCATTTAAAACAAAATTGACTTCATTTAAAAAGTGAACAGATGTATTATTTTTTGACACTGCGTTGTGTTTGCCTGCGCCGCTGCAGAATTCAAAGATCACCAAACACTGATGGGTGTTAGAGAACCAAATGATCCCAGTGAGGAGCCACAGCACCATTCAGCTTTAAATTAACACAACTTGGAGCACGCGGTCGGACAAAGTGACAGAAGGGTGTTAGTAACATGCGATTACTTGTACTGCCACCCTGAGTACCTGACCTGCTGGTAACATGGTGTACATAGACTCAGTGCTGTATCCAAGCACTAAAAGACAAACCACATCACACATGAACAGATTTAAAGGGCAATCTGGAGCATCCTTACACATTTCATTTGATCTATCGTAACACTTCTCTTTTATTGCATTTTAAACAGAGTGCAATAACTGGAAAATCTCATAAAGCCATGTTTTATTTGCAATGGAACATAGTAAACACATACCACATGTTTACACTAAGAAAATGTACTGTTTTAAAGAAAATACAGGTCATTTTGAATTTGATAATCCTAAGGTTGCTGGTTTGAGCACAGGTTGTAAAACAATCGCCAAATCTTTCATGCATGTTCGCTTGCTGTGGCAACCCCTACAGGAGGGAGCAGCAGAAAGAACGACATGCGTTGAGACGAGAGCAACAAACGGATGTAAAGATAATTTGTACGAAAAAGAAACGGCTAATTTTATAATTGATCGTGTTAATTGGCAACAGGTCGGTAAAAGAACTGGGTATTAAAGGAGCACTTTAAAGAGTTGAATGTCAGAAGGAAAGATAAAAAGATATTGTAAAAGTTTTAGAAAAAATTTGAGGACTTGGAATAACCCATCTTCTGCCTTTCTGATGGTATAGAGGTGCATTACTGTATAAGGTGAGGGCAGCTTACACATCTGAAAGAGACTATCAATGCAGAAAAAAATACAGGTTTTAGAACGTGCTCCCATCTAAATGTCTTTTTTCAGGGAAGGCTTTGCATATTTCAGCAGCACAATATTCAACTACACACCACATTACAATATGCCTTAGTTGAATAGTTGAACTAGCCTGCCTAAAAGTAGTCCAGCTTCTTACATTTAACATATATTTCTATCTTCCATTGTTAATAAATCTAGTCACTGCTTTCTGTTTGTATTTACACTTCACACAGTGACCCAACTCTTTTAGAATTGAAGTTGTCGTTCCTAAAGAATGTTACTTTTCCTGTAAGGTCACACGAGTCCGCTCTCATGTCACCGATGTTGGATTCTGACTTTACAGGCAGCTACATAAAGCTGCTGATGAAGAATGCATGTTTCATTCTTCATTGGAACCACAGGAAGTAGAAAACAACCACAAAAATCATGCGACTACCTCAACATACAGTCAGAAATAGACAGCTTGACACCTCTTTCTGTCGGCTTGTCCACGTTTTTATTTTTACATTGCATTAAATTGTTAGTTTCCTCACTCCAGCATCTTTTGCTTAGAATTAATCTCAGTGAATCTTTTGGCAGACCACTTGTCTCCAAGTTTACACTCAGCCTCCAAGTGTGCAGTTTGCATTACCTTGTTCTTCCAAGATGCCATTTGGTATTTTCTTGTCAACTGTTGTGACGACTGCTTTTCTCTGGTTTTTTAACCTGCAGGAAGAAGAACAAAACAGACAGTAAAAAAAAAAAAAAAAACAGGATTAGATAAAGGAATTGTAAAAATGATAAGCACAGCTAAGAAAAACAGCTTATCCATGAGTAAAAAATCTCGACGTCCTACCATCTAAAGCTCGAGAAGCTATTTTTTCTCATTAGCTGATGACTTGGTTGAAGTCGGAGTTTAGTACAGAATTTTTTTCTTCACTCTCAAGTTGCTGTGTAGCTCCTCAACCACAGCCTGCTGTGTTCTCACTAAACATGCGAGGGAGGCAGCTCGCAGCACTTCCTGACTGGGCTCCGCCTCAGTGACTAAAAGGAGGAAGTGTTTGTCACCCCGAGCTCTGCCCCTGGGCCTGGCTCAACGCCAGTCAATGGAAGCCAGGGAGGAAATAGCAAGGCAAGTAATATCAGTGTTGGGGAGGTGTTTTGTTTTTTTTACCTGAGGAAGTACCAGAGCAGCAGTATGATGATGAGCAGCAGCAGGAACCCAACCAGCACAGTGGAAAGGATATGGTGACTGGGGGATGTGGCGTCTTATGAGGAAGGAGAGGCAGAACCAAGATGTTAAGGAGCACCACCAACACTTTTGAAAAGCAGGACAAAGCACCGCTGCTGTGATAAAATGAATACCTATTTTTCGGACTATAAGGCGCACTTAAAATCCTTTAAATTTTCTCAAAAATCAACAGTGAGCCTCATAATCAGGTGCACCTTATGCATCAACTCTGGTTGTGCTTACTGACCTCGAACCAATTTTATGTGGTTTTTGTGAATGAGTTGAATAAAGTTTGACTTATCTGACTGTTTTGTTTTGCTTAATGCGCCGTATAATCCGATGCGCCTTATAGTCCAAAAAATACGGTACTTGGAACGGCAACACATCTCCTGGTCAAAGAGCCAGTTTAATAACTGGTCTCAGCAGGATTTGGCCAACATAGATAATCATCTGCTTATTTCATCCTGTTGGTATATCTAACAGAAAATTAAAAGCTCTAGGAATCAGACCAGACGAGTCAAGGCTATACAGTCTGCTATTAAATCTGTTAAGAAAGGTCTGCAATAAGCTGTAAATGACTGTCTGGGGCTGCTTCGTGTCGTTGTGATCCAGTAATAAGAAACTTGTGTAAGGCTGTTAACAGGACAGTCTGGTCATTTTTGAAGCGTTGTTCTGTCATGTGTGTTGCTACGTGTGCTGAGCACAGAGCAGGTGATGGTAAAGCTTGCACCATTGTATGTCTGTGCGGAGGCTGCTGAACGCATCGCCAGGAGATGAGTAAATTTTGGGGCAGACCAGACGTGCTAATCAAGCGGACTGACAGTTCATCAGCCTCAGCATCAATGACATGATACAAGCATGCACTCCCACACAAATGTTACAATGAGACACAATCTTATTCATATTTAATTTCATAGTTTGAAATTAGTACCTACTAGTGGTGTAACGGTACACGTGGGTGTATTGAACCGTTTTGGTACGTCATGTTCGGTTCGGTCCACGTACGTACCGTTTCGGTTATTTTTTCATTCATTAAATTTTATTAACAAAAAATCTCTCGCATAATCGTGCGCCGCGGAACTAAAGTTCCTAAGCGTGTTTCAGCACGGCGCTCTTATCTTGCAGCACGCGTAGCATTAGCAGCATAGCATCTCGTTGCGGTCTCCTGTTTGGGAACATTATGGCTTTCTTGTTAAAAGACAAGTGAACAAATCCAAAGCTGTGTACTGTCGACGTTGTTTCACGGAAAGTGGATCTGCAGCAGGCGACACGTCGAACTTGTTAGCATGCTTGAAACGACATCATCCGAACATGAACGTCTCTTCTAGCTGCTTGGTGCAAAGAACGATAACAGCAGCATTTAAACAACCTTTATGAGGTCATTCATATATACATACATATCTATATATATATATACATACATATAAATATATATACATATATATAAATATATATACATATATACATACATATAAATATATATACATATATACATACATATAAATATATATACATATATACATACATATAAATATATATACATATATACATACATATAAATATAT